TTAAGCGTTTGAGTGTGAGACCGATAGGTCCCGGGTTCTAATATCGCAAGACGGGGTCCTGGATGCGCGCTGCCGTGGAGTTCTACACTAGGACGAAACGGTCGTCCAGTGCTTCTAGGTTTTCCATGGTGGCCTAGCTTTAAATGACTCATGAATTAAACTACCAAGTTACTATAATATCCACAAAACCCCACGCTGAATAAATTAATCGGTAATAAAATTTTCAATATTATTTTTTGATAATTAACTTTAGTGATTTAATAAATTACTTTCTTTCCTAATCAGTTTTATTCGAGTGAATATTTCTAATGAGAATCTAATGAAGAGACCCCAGGTTGTCATGTTAATTATTGATAAATGTCAATTCTTTCGTGAAGCAATAATAGCGATAACTTTTTTTCTAATTTAACATTTCCCACAAACTTTATTGCTATTTGGTTGGTTATTCTGTGTTTTAGTTTATTGATTTTATTACGCATTGCAGGGCAACATTTCGCTATTGTGTTTATAGAGTTGCTCCACATCAAATTTGTCATTTTGAACGTTAATTTTTTATGATCACCTAACTCTTTATGGCTTTTGATTAGCTTGTGGATTATTGTCGAAGTTCTGTGAGTCAGTGCCCGGTTCATCGAATTTGTATTTGATCCCTATTGTATTAGAAGAATCCCAATCATTCCTAATTACAAATTACCAAGTGCCGTTTGTAAAATTCAACACGATTGAAAGGTGACATTTTTAGATTCAAAGTTCCTCACCGATTAACTGTTTTTCATTTAAGTTCTGAGACCAGTGTTCTGACATGACTATAACATCAAATCTCATTATTTAACTTCAGTTGAAAAGAAAATAGGATCTATTTCTAGAATGCTCCGGGTCAAAATAAAATTTTGTTCAGAATAAATAACTTCGTCCCAGTTAAAAAATTCAGGAAAAGAGATAATTTGCTTACAAAGCACATTATTTTAGGAACTTTACAAATACTTAACACAATGAAAAACCAAATAGTCTAAATATCAATTATTGTATGTTAATGCAAAACTTAGTAATAAAAGTTGAAATAAGTGAATTATGATGCATATAATAATAAAATCTTATCTCCATAACGTATATTCAACTTGCATCCTAAATGAGCAGAAACGCTCGTCCTGGATTCCGCTGATTACCATCATCTATCTCTGCTTAAAATGCTTGTAACTTATTAATAATTACGGGATAATCAACATTGGATGCAAACATGCTAAAAACAGATGATGAATTGCAGTCCTAAACATCAGGGGGAAGATTAAAGCCACAAATAAACACATTATTTTCAATTTTTCAACTAAGGATATTAACCCGTACCGGATATATATATATATATATATATATATATATATATATATATATATATAGGCTGATCACCTATTCAATAAAAAATTATAAACTGAATTCTTGATATTGAGCCGTGATGTAGATTATTGCAAATGAAGGCCAAAATAATTCCGTTTAGTTACTGAAAATAACTGTTATTAACCCAGTTCCCGTAATACTTCTTTAAGTACCTCCAAAGCTTGTCATCTAAATTTTCAATTTACTCATATATCACTAGTTTAGAATAATGCTATTTATTGTTTGAAAATATTATTTTTCCCTTAAATATTCACATCTTTTATAAGAAAAAACATGTCAAATAACTGAACAGTCAGTTTTCAAACTACATCAGATTATCTCTAAATATAATCTATGAAGCAATGTTACAAAAAGCCATGACTATTGAATTTAGCTCTTTACTTGAAAGATAACCTTCCCTTTACTGGTGTGACGCCAGTGCTCTCACATGGCTACGCATATATAGCCTCTGTCAGGAAAGTCCTAATCACTGCCTTCTCGCGACGGGGTGTTGTTTACGAAATTGAAAGCACGCAAGGCGAATTTCAGGCGCTTCAACTGGGTTGGTGGATATGGAGAGTCCACCTAGGGGAGTTGGAAAACCCTCATTCCAAACTAATAGTGAACATGGGCTCCAGGATCCTGAGGGAACAAATGGCGGATGAACCGTCGCTGGTCACCGGCTTCCATGGGACTGCATCTCCTTACGTTGCTCAACTGCCTTGTGGATCAAACCTTCATGTCGAAGGCTTCGGGTGTGGCCCCCTAAGAAAACCTACTGCTTCGGTTTGGGCACCCGGGCAGTATCACGGCCCTCACACATATCAAATGAGATTTATGTGGCGCATATGTATTTGGTGCCTCCTTGTACCAATATCTATGTGTTAAAATAAATAAAAAAGTGTGACGCGATTGAAAATAGATCATAATGACGTGATGGAGAATATTTGCAGTTCAAATCTATTCCTTTACAGTTGTTGAGTTGCTTGCAATAAATAGTTTAATTGTAAAGCTCTTATAATCATTCTCCTTGAAATCATCAACGCTAACTTTATTTAATAGTGAATCTATTTTTTTATTCTACCAATTTGAAATTACCTTGTTCTGGTAGCTTAATTTAAAATACATGGAATATATGTAAAAATCTCATTACTAAGTGAAGTGTTGATGATATTGATCAGAAAGATAATGAAAGTTTCACAATTAAAACATCTATAACAGGCAACTCAACAATGCCAACAGACGGTACTCTTTACTATTATCTCAAATTCTTCATTTAAGTCATTTAAAAATAAAATGTCTCACAATCATTAGAAATGGTGGATAACACATGAAATAAAACTTTTGATAACAATAATAATTATTATTATATTAGGTTTTTCTCAACGTTTGATTTTCATACATGTTATTCTATTAACAATGAACAATCTCAATCATTTTCTCATTAAAATACAGAGAACCAAACAAACAAACAAAAAAGAAGGTAAGGTGAACATTTCAACTACTTGATAATGACAAAATGTGATCAGTTTACAGACAAAAATAAATAAATTTAACGTGTAACTCAATCGTAAATCAAACAGACTATTCCAAATAAATAAATAAACAAATATAGATAGATGGATAGATAAACATTTGTATTATTTTAAAAAACTTAAACTGTTTTTAGCTTACTTACATTGAATGTTGTACTTTGTGTAAACAATATATACATATGTATATAATATCTTTAAACTAATTTCTTTTTAATCATTTTAAATTGTGCACTAAAAATGGAATCAAATTACATTTGAATAAAGATAAATAGATTCGAGTTAGCTCTTTACTTATAAATTTTATATTCATATGCTGATAATACTAGCAACATAAATCCATATAAGTTAGTTATAGATGTAAAATTATATATATCAGAAATATAAATTGAACGAATAACAATATTGATAACGACTGTAACACTGTTAATACTGAAAGCTTTAATGATAAAAGTTATATTATTGAATACTTAACCCTCACCCCTTTTCTTATTAACACTTTTTAAAGTTCCATTTACCATGTATTACATATTCCACATTCTAGTGAAATTTTAGATACTAACAGCTGGTAAAATAAAATATTAATTAGTGATTTAAAAAATTTTTCTATGTCCCATATTTTAGAAAATGATTCATTTTGAAAGTAAAGTAATAGAGTTTACATATAAAACCATAGTGATATTCACTAATATACATATAGTGAAGTTAAGGTTTCTATTTATGTTATATTGATAACTGGTTCAGGTTTTATAAATTACATGTGATGTTTGATACTTGGATTCTTGTAAATTTGACATTGATTTTATTAAAAAAATTGAAATCAGGATCAATACAACTTTCAGGAAGTATCTAAGAAAATTTCAAAAAAAAATTGCGTTCCTGCATAATGTCAAAATAATGAGTTTAAAGTGAAAAATGTAATTTTTTGATACGATACTTAACATAACTGCATGAAGGTGGGTCTCAGGTTTTTCGTCTCATCAAGATTTTGGAAATTCATTAACGTGTTCAGTCCTACTTTCAGAAGGTTGGAAATGCGAAAGCATAGCTGATGATAAACTTTTTATCAGGCATATATTTTTAATGATAAATTTTTTCCAGTATAACAAGTGATTTTAATGCATTTTTCGATAACAATATTTACCATTAAAATTCAAAGCGCACCAAGTTATAACATAGTTGGAATATTTACTAAGTGACTTATATATAGGGATCGCACCAGTAAACTATATTATATAGACATATCTTACTACTGCGCTTAAATTGGAAATAACTAAACATTTCATTAGCTTTAAAAAATGTAGAATATTTGGTTGCATATTAGACTTTCTTTGGAAGAGTTATTATAAATGAAAAACAAATTTTAGATTTAAGTCTTTCCAAGTTACTCATTGGATTGATTACACGGTCTATATCACCATACTATATATATTTACTTTACATATAAGCTAATTCCTTTGATGTTTAGAAGGAAAAAAAGCTTTATGCTTAAACAAATACCAAGATGTTAAGTATCAAGCGACTGTCAACTAAGACATAAAATTAATTGAATCTAGGTTTGAAAAACTTCATATATTTCTTGATTTAACTATCTTCACTCACTCAATAGTAAACTAGAAATATAATCACAAATAATAACTTCCAATATTTCAGTAAATGAACTGGTTATTTAACATGAATGATTTATTCACTTAGAATTGATGAAAATGTTATTTGAAAAGACACCAACAGACGGTTGAAAATTAATTTCATTATTAAAGAAGGTATATATATATATATATATATATATATATATATTACAGCTACTCATTATTATTATTTCATTCTATTATTTTTAAAATAAAATAAAAATTTTAACTCTTCAGGGAAATTATTACTTACAAAACAGTAGAAAGTCACAATGAGTAAGCAATGCAAAGTGATAAACTTAAGCATTTTAAAGAAAACGTTTTAATACAATACAAAAAGTAAATTTAGTTGTTTATTTATTCCGTTTCTTTAAAATAATATCGATGAATGTGTATTTTTACTTTTTGCTTATTTTTATTTGTGCTATAGTCTTCTTCTTACTTTTTCTTGTATTTCAGTAGAATAAAAATGATAACTAAAACTTTAACTGAAGAAAAATCTTCGTCAAACTATTTTACCGGTAATCAGACAATTTAAATAGTGGAATAAATATTGCAATTTGATAGACTAATTAATATTTTGAATGCAAAAAGTAGCCTACTTTATACTTCTATATGAAGGAGTTGATTTTGTTAAGAACTATGATGAAAGCCCCGTAATTAAATCATATTGTAGTGAACAAAAACACAAGTGGGAACAATCGAATGTATTTGACAAGAAATTACAGAGCATCTCACTGAAATCTGAGAACTATATAGTAAATAGTTAATTTGCAAAATATCATCCCATAGTCTTTAATTTGACTCTTCCTTTGCAAATATAAGTCAATTATCTCAAATGTCGTTGTTCATGCATTTCATGCCAATTGTGTTCCGTTGCCGTTCTTTTCTTCTCGATCTTCTACTAAAATACCTTCTATGTCCGACCACTATTATATACTACTTATGTGGATATAAGTAACCCACACCACAATATAGCTCAAAGAACGTAATATTACCAAATATTTTTGTTGAAAATAAACAAACTGAATTTAGTAAACGCTGAATACAAATTTGGAATTTGATGTTTGTACCAAAAGAATTATAAATAATTGGTATATTATTTATGTATACAAGTAAAAAGGAACAAAAAGATGACATCATGGTCAGATAGCGTTATGTTATGAAGGACAAGATGAACACTAGCAAAACTTGAACAGATTTCATTCTTGTTCAGTACTGCTTTATTATGAATTTTTTGTTGTTAAAGCAATTAGCTTAGATAGATCTGATGATATTGTTTTTCTAATATAAGAAGAAATTTGAATTTCAGAGACTACAATTAGTATGGCCCGTGTTATGTAACTATTAGGATTTTTCTTAAATAGCTTATAACAGATTGAAGTAGCAACACTTTTCTGTGTAGAAACTATAATTTCTTGAGTTTATTTGTGCAGACGAATCTATAGCTAAATCACTGATACATAAAGTATGTGATTACATAAGCTGACGTCAGTTTATAATAAGGCACTACTAAATGACTCATGATCCCAAAATATTTATTCGTATAACAATCAGTCAGCTTAGCCCATACACTTCTCAGCATATCGGCGACCTTCCAAATATATCCCCAAACTTCTCCATTCTTCACTTCTTTTTCGGTTGTTTTTGTGATGCACGATCATAAAGGTGTTACGGATAACAGCGCTGTCATACCTGAATATTCGCAATATCCTTATATGATTCATAGAATGATTTCAAGTGTGAATACACTAAGGTAAACCTGGAGAATATGAGTAGTATGCCAGAAACTTATCTTTACATTCGGTAGACTTTAATTGTCAATCATTTACGATTAAGTGAAAAGTCCTCTTACTAACAAAACTCAGGGAAAGCGAAGAGACGCTTCACTTCCAATAACAAAACGTGATAACTTCTAAAGAGCCCTGCGGACTATTTACTCCTTCCTTATTCATATCCATCACACGTAAAAGTCTAAATTTCAGATGACAGAAGCTTCTTCTCGGGTAAACCCTGAGTGAAATTAACTTACCAAAACCATATCTATAACCACATAGTAAGTATTTTAAGTCATCATTTATATCATATCAACAGATATGCTACAAAATCGCGGACACGTTTCCTATTTCTTAGTCCAGGTGCAACTCCAAGTCGTGATCACACAAATCGCTAGCAAATTTTTAATAAAGAATTCAACTGTCGTTGGTTTATGAATATCAGGTTTAAGACGTACTTGTGGATGGAAGATTAATGTAGTTATATGGCATACCTGTAGTCGAAAAAACATTCGTTAAAGAACCTAACCATTTCTGATAATGCTCATAATCCCGGGTAATTGACAACAAGCTAGTGTTTGCCCGAACTCAAAGTTACAACGTGAAGTGGATGATCACTGAAAACCTTTGAGTGCCTTCTGGAAACGCAATTTCGGATCCTTTCAAATGGATATTTGATCCCAATATGTTGGTAATAATGTTATTGATTTTCGAGTACATAACGCTTATTTATTAACCATCTTCCCGTGTGTAGTAAATTTAAATACATAGTGCAAGCTGTGCTTTTGATTTATTTTGCCCTTTTGATATAATTTATCATCCTTGTTAAATTCGAACTATTTAAATTATTCATAAAGCTTGTGTTTGAATGAGATTTAATGTGAATAATTCCAAGTCTTCACGATCTATGCAAAAGAACATAGTTAAGGTCAATCAAATAATTTTTATTCTTTGGATCGTCCTCTGCATTCAGATCACATATTGGAATCCTGTTGTTACAATAGTACCGTGATATTATTGGTGATCTATTCCATTCAGTCCATATTTCCAGTTATCTGATAACCCCTATTCGTGTGCCAATTACAGAGTCGTCTAAATCTAGCTTTTATTCAGTATAGCACAGTTGAATAAAAAGATCATTCTTACGGCGTATTTTGAATGTGTCACGCAAAAATCACCATGTGGATTTAAGTTTTGATTTACATCACATCAAATACCTAGGCCCTCATTTGGAAGGGATAAAATTAAGCTGAAACCATCTAAAAACTGCCACATTTCGAATTACCCACTGGGTAACTTTCTTCAAGAACTATAACCACTCGCAAAAGGCAACACAACAATCATGAAACTTTCCTAACTAAATCCTCCTTGACATTTTTCGGTATATACAACTCTGAACAATTTGAAATAAAACTTTGTGAACCTAGGAGTGACATCTGGTTTTAATATTACAAGCATTGCAACACTGACTGGCAATCCACGTTAAGCTTATTCAGCTAAACAGGACAAGGAAGTTCACGCGTTTCAAATTCGAAGCAAAACTGCATCTATACGAACGCAACAAGTTGACTGAACAAAATGGATGAGCTGCATGAGTGAAGTGATGCTAACAATGCTCACGTTTAGATTGAGTTTTTACAAATGAAGAATTCATGAGTAGCAACATCTCAATCCTAGGTCCTCTGTGAAAAAGTGGTCGCGTCGTTACAGGCTTCCATTTTACTATTGAAATTACGTTAAAATATCTTATTGATAATAGATGTTGAAACTCAAACGGACTGATGCGTATGCTTTACCGGACAATTTACGGCAGATAGACTGAAATGTCTACCCTCAACTTGATGTAGACGCTCCTTCCCATTTCTTACTGCACACAATCTTATATGTTACAAAATGCTCTGCCTCGCAAATGGTCCTCAAATGTTGCAGGCAACGTAAAGCCACAAGGAATCGCACTCTTAGAATGATAAGACACAAACGGCACAACTAAGTGGAATATAAATGAACTAGTGACAACAGCATATATAGGCAATCCGAGAAAAGCGAGGAACCAATGTACGAAGACAATAGGAGAAGACGGGCTTTGGCATCAGATAAAGCTAATCGACAAGTCGAGGCACGGTACCGGAAAACTGAAAGCTCGTTTACACAGCACCAATTTTTAAAGGAGGCTTACGTGACTACTTACTACCCATGAACTTCCTTTCACACCTACAGCACGGTTTCAGAAAGGGTCATTCCTGTATAACCAACCCGCTGATCGCGGTGGACAGATGGACAACCATCCTTGATCGCAAGAGGAAGGTTGACGTCATATGCCTTGACTTCTCTAAAGCTTTTGATAGGGTCAGTCATATGTGTCTTATCAGTGAGTTTAAACGGTAAGGTACCAAGCCACCGTTAATTGTTTGGCCTACTCCACATCTAAATGGTTTACTTTTCAGGGTCAGGTAAACTTCACTTTTTCTCGGGCTGCGAAATGTCTTAGTGAGGTTCCCCATGTTTCAGTACTAGGACCTCTTCTCTTCTTAATTTTTATGAACGACCTTCCTCAGCCGGTGTCGTCCGACTTATCACTACTCTCTGATGATGTGAAACTCTGGAGAGAAGTTTGCAACCAAGATGACTAGCTGGCACTCCAAGACGATCACAATCTACGTCAGAGTTGGATGATCTTCAACACTTTAAAATGTACATTGGTCGATCTGTGACATATTGCAGATTATACATACAACTTAGGTAACTACCATCCAAAGCTATCACAAGTTGAAAATGATCTGGGAGTGTTGGTGTCCAATGATCTGAAGTCTTACGCCAACTGAGACAAAAATGCCTTTCTAGCAGTTTGTACACTGGTAACACTGAAGTGCGATTTTTCGGCCAGTTAGATGGTAGAACTGCTCACTTTGTGTTCGACAGTTTTATTCGACCCCGTTTAGAGTATGGGAACACTTCACTTCTATCTGAAGTTTGTGCTGATGATGTCGTTCAGAAGAACGATGAAAGCGCCACGACCAAACCATCCATCTCAGAGAACAAACTCCACCAAAATCATAATGTTTCCTCCCTCACTCTAAAAGGATGAGGGGACATTGTGATGTATCAAACAGTGGGCCAAGAAATCAGTTCGAGGACCCAAACTCAACTCTTATGAAGAACCCCTTAGATGACTTAATTTGAAGCATTTCAAAAACTTCCAAACATCCCCTTAAATACCGATTTGAGCTCTGTTCCAACACAATTCTTATGGGTAACACACAGATACTGTAAACACATCATAGCAAAACGGACTGCAGACGCAGCTTCTACTCCCTAAGAGTAGTCAGATGTCGAAATTCGATGTCGGATAAGCTAATGCAAGAGATTTCACAGGAGTCCTGCGAGAGAAAACGTGACATATTCTTAGGGACCAAGGACAGTATCTTACTGTAGTTTACTGATATTTTCCCCTTTTATCGCTGAATATATTTAAGCTTCTACCAGAAGACGTCGGTGATTCCCTGCCACTAGATATAGGAACACACTAAACTAAAGCGTCTTCTATTTCTATATGAACTATTTGAAGAGTTGTTAAAGTTATCATTATTGGCGCACAAATCAACATTTATTGTCTGGCGGGTTGGTCGCTTGTTGACTTTTGTAGATGATTAAACCATATGCTTCTATTTGTGATCTCAAGATTGTCGTAATCTGAGGCTTATGTCTATATTGACTGATTATTGTTGTTTTCCGTAGTGAGTGTAATTGCATTGCTTGCACATCCGAAGTCGTTGACACACGTTTTCCTATGTTCTCTCCAGCCCACCTCAATCTCCCTTCTACTTATTCCCCGAATTCTCAAAACATATTGTAGCTAGACGCAAACCTTCACAATTTTCAATAGTTCTTAAGGGTGCGTGTTCACGTGATTTTATCTTGCTTATGGTCAGTATATCAGTATAATTCCAGGCTAGCCTAAATTAATGCTCATCTACCCAGTCTCTGTAGAAAAGTGGTGATTTTATTTTAAGAAGTCTTAATTTAGAACTCACAGTAAGTGACTTCGAACATGATGATGCCGATATGCTACGCCTAAGTATTTAGCTAAATCCACGAGTGCGCAAATATACGTACAGTTGGTCGAAACAACACATTTAACAGTTTTTAGTTAAGCTGCGTCGAAGTTATTCAGTCGAATTGCTATCCGGAAAGTCGCTCATTTGTAACTACAAGCGTTCACGAGCTATAACTCAACAGGGTTACTTTGAAAGTACGCCGATTGCTGTACATGCCAAATCACCACCTATTGTAATAGTATAGTGTGCTTCATTGATTATCACAATAATGTATTCAGCAAATACATTTCAGTAGCTTGGTGTGAAAGCAGTTATAGTGTAATAGTAGCACGTCATGTGGCGGTTCTCAAAGATGTCCCAATATCCTTATTTTGGAGGAATTTCGGGGGTTTTGTGCCATTTCCCCACATTTTTCTGTAGCAGCTTCTCCAAACTTTCCCCAAAACGGACAATATTCTCTCCGAAATAGGGAGTTTTGCGTGTTCCATCCTAATTAGCCACTTTGGCAGTCAAGCAATGTCAGCCAAGATCTTAAGAGAAATACAAGGTATTCCATCGCACTCCTCGTGCTTTCATGATTTCAGCTTCAAACAATACCTTGCTTATGATTAGAAATGCAGCAGTACACTACTACAGAACTGAGTCAGCTGCTGGATGAGGGGAACGTAAGTTTCAGTAATTTATGAACGTGACTCAAAGCCAATAAAATGTAGGTCTAAGTCCCGTTCCCATTTCTTCGTTTTCAGTTGTCTAGCACTACCCTTAAAGCCCATACAATCTTAGTAGATCAAAACATTTCCCGTGGTTAAGCTCCAAGTTGTATAATATAGTCATTGAGTAAGGTTTTACGGCATTAGATGGATAAAAGTTGTATGGATTAAGTGGTTTTCTATGTCCAGATCTTCTAAATTAGTCACGTTCACCTTGAATTAATAGTTTGTCTTGTACATTATGTAGATGGATCCAGCTCAAGGACCTAACTCAGGGATACATACAAATAATGTCCAGGTAAGCTTACCACGCGTTTTCTGTTAAGTATTGATTAATGCTGATCTTTGACTTAACGTGCTATTAACTATTTTTTTCAACTTAGCGCAACGTTGTTATTAGTCCCTAACTTACCATGTCATCAAATTTCTGGTCCCGATTAGTTCGAAACCTGAGTGTCACGTGTGTTTCAATTTTCAGTCCAGAACTTGCGTGACTAATTTAGACCAATTATTATGGAAGCGACCAAATCAAAATATATCATCTCATGAAGCCGCAAATAGTTTTGCAATTGAATCGAAGTAAACCAAATAAATTCTTAAGATGATCGAGGTACACTTGTGTATAAAGGGTTGAGAGTTCTTCGATTAGCTAAATGGGTTTCGCGGAGGTCGTGTCAATCGTTAGGTTGTTTTCGTCATACAGGGTATCACAAAAAGCCTCAGCACTAGACATGTTTCGTCCTAGTATAATATCGCTCGGTAGTGTTCACCCCCAATTCGCTCGTTGGGTGATAGTCCATTAATTAGTTTCAACAAGAGCAGTCATAAAATTAACTCATCCTCAGAGTGCTTTGTTGGGCCCGTATATTGGTTTGTGGGATCCACATATTTCGGTGTTAGTATGTAAGGAAGTTTATCTGTCCATTAAACAAATAGGTTTGATAAAATACTGGGTTTCGTAACAACAGCCTCGTGACTCTTTCTTGAGAATAAACCCATTTATCTCTTAACAAGTGTATCTTCCTCAAAGCTTGCTAATTTCGTCTGAATTTTGTCGAAGGAAGTCAATGAAACGCGTTCATATATGTTTTTATTAGAAGCTAAATGCCCATAAAATGGATCTGGGTTCGGATCCAACCAACGACTTGTTTACCCTGCACTCTAAATGAATTCTGGACCATTCTGTTGATTAATATTTTTGCTATTTGTTTGTAGTTTTACATTTCTTGTCCCAGAAGTTTGAAATTTTTTCTAAGTCACGGATTAAAGATTCATGTATCTGACCTTGAGTAGTAATTTTTAGTGTAATGTAATTCTCATCCCAGTTACAGATTCACGTATTTGCTTGGATTGTAGAGGCTAGCAATGCTACGCGGCAACTGAAACTGAAGTATTGGGATGAAGTTTTCATCTGCTACTAAGTATTTCATGTAGCTGAAAACGTCATACATAAACATGAGCTTGATAATTACGAGATAACATTAGCTGACACTATTGAGTCGTTAATGTTCCAGTGTCAGTTCTTGTCTTGTCTTTTGTCGTCTCTACCTACGATTAAAAGCTCCAATAGGTTTAACCTAAAGCGAGTTTCCGCTTTTACTGTAATAGAAGTGTAGAATATCGAAAGCTAGATCATGTTTTTGGTATTGTAGATCATATATATTACGACATAGATGTGCTGCTGTAACTTTGTTAGCCATTACTGCAATCGCATCACCCCTCATACACATTTTGTACTTATGAATAATCGTCCAGCTGTTTCTGTTTCATTTTTAGGGAGCACTTCGGCAGCTTGATTTGTTGGTCGAAAAGGCGGAGCTCTATGCTCAGGTGAAACTTATTGGTTCTGGAACAAAAGATCTGTCTAGTCCATCAAGAATTAAACAAGAGCAGCCCATTAGTTCTCCTACTTCCCACTCTTTTGGAGAGTAAGTTGTACTATTATTATCCGAAGTATTGTTTATTCAGCCATCGACATCGTCGTACTGAAAAAGAAGAAGATGAAGAACTATTGACCGAAACTAAGCATAGTTCATCTGGTATTCAGCGTTTCGAAGCTTCTCCGTGGTGTAAGTAATAATTTATTACCCATATTTTCTACATTTTAGATGTAAAGGGAGGAGAGATGCGTGATTATCAAATCCGTGGTCTAAATTGGATGATTCAGCTCCATCATAATAGTATAAATGGAATTCTAGCCGATGAGATGGGATTAGGGAAAACTTTACAAACAATATCATTACTTGGTTATATAAAACACTGTCGACACAAACATGGGCCACATATGGTAATTGTGCCTAAATCTACGCTTTCCAACTGGATGAATGAATTTGCTCGTTGGGTTCCTTCTTTGCGCACAGTTTCATTAATTGGAAACCATGAAGAAAGGGTAAATACCACTATTTCTGGGTTACTTGTTTTTCTTGTTTCTAGAGTCAAAAAATACAAGAGGAGATCTTGAAAAAGGAATGGGATGTTATTGTCACAAGTTACGAAATGTGTATTAAAGAGAAGGCGGTTCTGAAAAAATTTCACTTTATATATTTAATAATAGATGAAGCCCACCGAATTAAAAATGAAAAGTCGAAATTGTCAGAAATTGTCCGGGATTTCCGCTCTCAAAACCGTCTCTTGATTACCGGTACACCTTTGCAAAATAATTTACATGAATTATGGGCTTTATTAAATTTCCTAATGCCGGATTTGTTTTCTTCATCTGAAATGTTTGATGATATGTTCAAAACGGGTAATGATCAAGAAGATAGTTTAGTTCAACGTCTACATGCAGTTTTAAAACCATTTTTGTTAAGACGAATTAAAGCTGATGTGGAGAAACGTTTACCACCAAAAAAGGAGTGCAAGATTTATATTGGTCTTAGTAAAATGCAACGTGATTTGTACACCAAGATTTTAATGAAAGATATTGATGTGGTGAACTCTGTAGGGAATAAAGTGGATCGTCTTCGCCTACTAAATATTCTCATGCAACTTCGTAAATGCTGTAACCATCCCTATTTATTCGATGGGCTAGAACCAGGCCCTCCGTATACAACGGATCGTCATCTTGTTGATAATTGTGGAAAGCTGATGTTACTGGATAAATTGTTGCCGAAACTTAAAGAACAAGGATCACGAGTCCTTTTATTTTGTCAAATGACGCGAATGATGGACATTCTTGAAGACTATTGTTTGTGGCGCGGCCATGAGTACTTTAGACTAGACGGATCCACACCTCATGAAGAACGCCAGGTCAGTATTTCACCTCACTAACAGTAAGAAATTTTTTTATCGTCAGCTTGTAAAATAAATATCATGGTTTTTAGATATCTAAGATTTAATTTATGGTTAAGAAACAACCTCTAAGGATAAAATATATACGAAAGGTACTAATATTCGTTCGTAAATGTCTCTTAAGCTTCATTCGCACATAGTGGAATCACGAGATAACTAATGTTAAGGGTTGGCTGAGACATTTGTTTCTCATACCTAGCCACTGCTTACCTTGGCGTACAATGCTGCATGACATAGGAACACATCGAAGGAAATCCGAGGGGACAGAATTGAACGGAGTATCGTTTCATGAAGCCACAGACTTTTGGTCATAGTAGTGTTGGTAGGTGTAGAATCCCTAGTTCGACCCCACCTGGTTATCATAACCACTGTTTAGGGCCATTGGTTAGCATGCCAAAGATATTCATTTTCCATCTTCATACAACTCTAAGGTTTCACCGTTATATCGTACTTTGTGCTTTCTAACTCAATTTCTACTTTAGGATACATTTTCACTGCTGAATCCCTAAAATCTGGCTGGTTTTCGTTCAGACTGTAAATGTATTGACCATTTCTCCATCTCACCCGAATCGTCGAGTATTTTCACGTTTTGTGTTGATCTGTTTTTCATGTTAATGTGTTTAACTTAAAGTGTGCTGCTAACGTCCTTGACAGTGGCCACTTACGCCATAGTTTACATGTCCTTGGTGGCTTTTCAGCCTAGTAAAACATTTTTACTGTGGTTTTTCACTACCAGTCAGGTAACAAAATGATAAATTTTTCCTGTTCCTTAAGTTCGGTTCATATATGTGTATCCATCGATGTTATCAACTATTATCAGAATGTGTTTTGTGGAGATTTTTAGAAATTTTCACAGATTGAACTCATGAGTCAGTTGAAGCTAGACCACCATTGAAAACCTGGAAGCACTGGACGGCCGTTTCGTCCTAGTATGGGACTCCTCAGCAGTGCACATCCACGACCCCGCACCACCCGGGGCTCGAACCCAGGACCTCGCGTGGTGCGGGGTCGTGGATGCGCACTGCTGAGGAGTCCCATACTAGGACGAAACGGCCGTCCAGTGCTTCCAGGTTTTCAATGGTGGTCTAGCTTCAACTGACTCATGAGTTCAATCTGTGAAAATTTCTAAAAATCTCCACAAAACACATTCTGATAATAATAATCACCTGCTCACTAGTGACTGACTTCAGGAGACACTTCTGGAGTTCTAGTGAGAAGTCGTTACCAGTGGAGTTCAACCAGGTCTGTTGTGAGATGGGAACTCACTGAAGACAATGGTGTACGGTAGCGCAACTTCGTGGATTGGTTGAAGTTAGACATTAACACCGTTGGATGCCGGCTAAGTGGTCTAATGGTTAAGTGCTCGCGCACGAAGCCAGTAGGTCCTGGGTTCGAGTCCCGGGTGGTGCGGGGTCGTGGATGCGCACTGCTGAGGAGTCTCGTGCTAGGACGAAACGGCCGTCCAGTGCTTCCAGGTTTTCAATGGTGGTCTAGCTTCAACTGACTCATGAGTTCAATCTGTTATCAACTATGCCACTGTCTGAATGCGCTTGATTACTTTCGATATTTAGATCCAATAACATGTTACAAGACAGTTTTACTAGCCATTATAAGGAAAGGATCAATCTTATTACTAACATATGGTCTTGTTATTATTAAGTACTCTTGAAATAAGTCTGTGAGGACTCATTATCTTTGAAGTCTCGAACATTTCATCCTTATTTCGAGACTATCGTTTACATTCCGATCCCCATAGTTTTGACCTCATATGTGTATAACTATGAAAACCTACATTTAATACTCTATTTGTTTTTGCATATTTTGTCACCTCTAATTATAATTTAGATTTCAATTGATGAATACAATCGTCCAGGTTCCACCAAGTTTCTTTTCATGCTTTCTACAAGGGCTGGTGGTTTGGGTATCAATTTGGCCACAGCCGACGTAGTTATCATCTATGACTCAGACTGGAATCCTCAAGTTGACCTTCAGGCCATGGATAGAGCACATCGTATCGGACAAACCAAAACTGTACGCGTTTTTCGACTAATTACAGAACATACAGTTGAGGAACGTATTATTATGCGTGCTGAGATGAAGCTCAAATTGGATAACTTGGTTATTCAACAAGGTGATCTATAAATATGTAACCAACCGTTTTAAACTGTATGACTTTATGTACCATTAAAGATGGACTTACTGTCACTCCAGATTACGTTACAGTCACTTACAATAGTTACTGAAATTCCAATCAATTATGTATCATGCTGAAATTATCATATCTAATGCTTACCGCAGTCTCGTACCTAATCGCTGTGAGACCTGTAGGCGGTATAAATCCTACATAAGTCGGTGTCCCAGATCACGGTCCATACATTTTCGAATCCGCAATTTACCTGACTATTTCAAAATAAAGTATACCTAGCAGATTTAAAATAATAACAGTTAGTAGTTCAAAATGCCTAAGCAATTTTGTGTATAATGACACTACTATTTAGCACTAAGAAATAATACAGATGGTCTTGAACAAAATAGCCGACTACTGATTCATGTAGGTACACTTACGGATTTTAATAGGTTTGTTTGTTACGTTCCTTTAAAATATAAGATCTGTTCAGTACATTCGTATTTGAAATGTCAGTATTAATTGAATACTGAGTACTACTTCAGTGAAACTTTGTAGGTCAGGTTAATTCTTTCTTCTCACAATATGGACCCCAATTAGCAGTGATCAAATGATTCTTTTCTGACTTAAACATCTGTCATTGTTAGGGGATCTGTTGATCTATGCGTGTTAGGTTCTCGATGTACATATGAATATCCATGGTCTTAAAAGTACGTTGCGTATCAAAAGCCGTAACTTTTAATCATGAACCTAACCATTTCTTGCCAATAATGACTAGTTTATTCGTATTTGTTAGGTAAATTTTAGATTCAGTAACTTACGATCTTCATCATCCCGTCAATTTGACGAGATCGATATTACTTGACAATCAAGATGAAGCTTGCAAAATGTGGCAACTAATGTCTAATTTCGTTTTTGAATCGCAGACGGATATAATTACAAGCTCTGGGCATGACTTCGAAAATAATAATCCATATCTATCTTTTGTGGTTTGAAAGACTAGAAAGAAGCTAAGCACCACCGTCAGTTATATATTCTTTTGTTTATAAACGGATATTCTCAACATTTTTCACGTTTTTAACTTACAGTCTTGACAATTTGATAGCCAATTGCAGGTTTATTCACTTATCTGTTGTTCTACAAAAGCACAGTTTGGTTAGTATTATTATCTTACAGCATCAACAGTAATCGACTTGGATTTAAATTGAGAAATTCACCGTATAACAATCGGTGACCCAAATCATTAAACCACAACTCCAATATGATTTTGTTAACCTTACTTCAAACTCTTTTCTCTATAGAAGGTCAGAATTGTCAACTAGAATATACATAAACACCAATCCTTTTAAAATTATACGTTACAGCACCCTATTTGTTAATGGAAATCTAATTTTTAATTTTGCTTATCATAGTTTGGTGTTCACAAACTATCGTGTGAAATACTTCTTCAAACCCGTTTTCCTGTTCTTGTGTATTTCCAGGTCGTCTTGTTGAGCAAAAATCAAACCAACTTCAAAAGGGTGATGTTTTAGATATGATTAGACATGGTGCCAATTACATTTTCCGTAGCAAAGATAGTGATTTCAAAGACGAGGATATTGATATTATCTTAGCTCGAGGTGAACAAAAGACTGCTGAAATGAATGAAAAACTGGCTCAATTGGAGAATCTAATTTAAGGTCTTTAAAATTCGATACGGCAGATGAGAATGGTGCACCAACATCAGCATATATATTCGAGGGGGAAGATTATCGAGAAAAACAATGTCGCACTTCCTTATTAGATGTATGCGATTTTAATGGTATAGTTTAGATGAATTCAGAGAAATTTATTTTTACTGTTTTCTCTTTGTAACTGTCATTCGAGTCGTTTATATTTACTGATGATGTGCATTTGTAAATCATTACTGTTCACCATTTGTGGTTTGTGTATTCTAATTTAATAAATATTCTATTTCTAATAGGGTTGGATAGAACCTCCGAAACGCGAACGCAAAGCAAATTATGCGGTTGACGCATACTTTCGGGAAGCGCTTCGTGTCTCTGAACCTAAAGCACCGAAACCACCTCGACCACCAAAGCAACCAAATGTGCAAGATTTCCAGTTTTTCCCTCCTAGACTTTTTGAGCTTTTAGATAAAGAAATATATGCATTCAGGTTGGTCTAGTTTTCTTAGGTTTAATAATTAATCAAAACCTTGTTTTTCCCTTTTTTTGAGCCGAAATTACAAGAGCTTGAATAAAAGTGTAAATACAAACAGAAGGAATAGTGTGTAGTTTCGAAAGATTATTATGCATCATTTTATGTACATCTAAATTTTTTTACCAATAGTTGTACATAGACATGGTTGTTTATGTCGCCAAAGATCTTGTGGTTAATTTCAGAAACATTTGCAAAATTAATAAATCCTCAGATACTAATCGCGGCAGAGGGTGTGGGTAACAAAAAATGAGGACAATCTTATTTATCTCCTACCGAGAGATTCACTTACGGGCCTAGAATACTTTGATGATACAGCCCTGTTTGATGAGGACGCCGACAAAATTGTCTTCTGATAACCTCGATCAATAGTCCATGCATGTCCGAGATGCGTTTCTCCTCCTCCTAATGAGAAGTGTTTCTTAAGGACTGGTTTATGTCACCGTCTAGATTGACCATAGGGAGTGAAGTAATTGAGCACGTCGACTGTTTTATTCACCTTGAAAGTCTTATCAACCCTTCTAGGTTGATGTCTAACGAAATCTCAACCCAAATTCCGAAAGTTCACTTGACTTTTATCAATTTGCGTCACACGGATATCCGTATCTTGACGAAGAGAGGAGTATATTCCGCAGTACTTTTCTGTTCTACTGGATGACTATATCACGTGGTCTTTAAGTGTAGAGTTACTAGTATTTGATTATAGATGCGTTCTTAGCGCACATCAGAACCACTGAAAGTGATCAGTGTTGAGGTTAGATGTAGAGTACTAGTCAAATATATTAAACAGGTTAATAAAATTAAGAATCGTCAACGATTAAAGTGGTTTTTAAATCTATCTATCTAACTAGCTCTTACCTCGACGTGCCATGTTACCTTGAGTAGAAACATGTTAGGAAAAACTAAAACGTGGCATCAGTCTATTAAGTCAGTAAATTAGCTAATGTTGAAATATAATTGAGCTCGTTTATATAATCTGACTGTTCGTTAAGTGTGTAAAAATATCGACTAATTCACATTTCCAATGTAGTGTAGGGTTAACAGTTTTAAACGTCCAATATCAGCTACTGGAATGACCAAACTACTGGATTCATAAAAACAACTAAGGAATGGCTTTTTAAAACTAATTGATTGAATCAAAAAGGTATGTGAAAAAGAAAATTACTTTATATTAATTATGCTTAGATAATTCAGTATAGATTTGTTGGGGTATCACTGTTCTTTATTTCTTGTTTGGTTGTAGAAAGAGTATTGGTTATAAGGTTCCTCGTAACCCAGATGCTGGGCCAGATGGTGAGCGTGATCGTCTGGATGAACAAGCTAGAATAGATGAGGCTGAACCATTAACTGAGGAGGAACTTGCCGAGAAGGAAGAGCTTTTAACACAAGTAAATGAATAAATGATATAATATTGCTCATTACTATTTGGCTTTCTCAAATCCTTATTATTTAGCTATGATCTCTTCCAAATAAATAATCGTATGTTTGTCTTTTTAGGGTTTCACAAACTGGTCGAAACGTGATTTTCAACAGTTCATCAAAGCCAACGAAAAACACGGTCGTGATGATTTAGAAGCAATTTCAGTAGATGTAGAAGGTAAAACTCCAGATGAGGTTAAACGGTATGCCCGTGTTTTTTGGACAAGATGTAACGAGTTGCAAGATGTCGATAAGCATATGGCTCAGGTAATTGTCAAGTTATATCGATACTAATTCCTGTTGATGATTTGAAAGACATTGTCTAGCGTGAATATCTATATATTATGATTAGTGACTACATAAATACGGTTATTGGAAGGTAATCAGTCATAATAATTTCACCCGGACACTTCCGTAATAATAAAAGCTAAGTTTAAATGTTGTGTTTGCTAAAATCACATATCGTCAGACGTGATTGTTTACACCTCCATTGATATATATAGGGTCTATTACCACATGAATTTTCAGGTGCCAATCAATTAAGCCCGACCGAAGCTGCTACCTTGACGCGGTGGTCGGGCTTGCCTATCGTGATGACCCAACCGAGCTATATTGGCTGGAACATATGTTCCTGTAGGTTCTACCATGCCAGGCAGGTCGATTGGAGAACGGTAAGACTAAAAGCAGCAACTCAAGGTCTGAGGGCGAAGTCGTACTGCTGACTGTAGAGGAGTGTGACAGCAGTAAGGTGTTTCCTTCGGACAACCAGCATGACAGCGATGCTGCCTTCCCACAAGGAGGGGTGGGGTTAGAAAAGGTCGACCCTAAAAATGTCACACCTCACCTTACCTCACGGATTTCCGTCTCCGGCGGTAAGGCCCTTTGAAGAACGGAGCTAACACGTTAAAAACCTTCCACAAAAAGGCCGTGCGCGACCGGCCTCAAGCAGTTGTCCCTTGGGCTCTGCGGTCACGCTCCCAGGTCGTCAAGACCAACACTAATCCAATTTCCTTTTCAGGTTCCTCAAGAAATACCCTTCCACGGTGTGGGCAGCCGGGAAGTGACATCAGCCCTCATACCCGTAACAGCACACGAGACCAAGTTGGTCACATTCAAATCCTTCCTACACCTCCTAATACCTCTTATCTCCATGACTAACCCTCCTCACGTCTCTTTATCACCTCGCACCGCTAGGGCAAACGATTCGAGTATGCGGAACGCCATTCCTGGTCTCCTGAAACCACGCTCTAAACTACACGTAGGAGCTTTTAACGTACGAACACTGTGCCAAATAGGACAACAGGCTTCCTTAGCTAGGACTTTAGAATCTCGCGCCATCGATGTGTGCTGCGTCTCCGAAACGCGCATACAGGATCCGAGTAGCGTCATTCATTTGACCTCACCATGCCAAAATAAAGAACCGACTCGATTCACGCTTCGTGTATCTGGAAGCCCTGATTCTGCTTCCCGTGGCCTCGCCGGCGTAGGTATAGCATTGAGTCCTAGGGCAGAACTAGCTCTCTTAGAGTGGATCCCAGTAGACAGTCGTTTGTGCGCTGTCCGACTGAACGGAACAGTAAGAATCCGGAAAGATAGGGACACTCGTCGTTGCCTCTTCGTCGTCTCTGCCTATTCTCCCACTGACTGCAGCTCAGATGATGTAAAAGATGAGTTTTACAGAAAGCTTTCGACCTTCTCCGAAAAGCTAGGCGCTCGGATGTAGTAATAGTGGCCGGTGACTTTAATGCTCAAGTAGGTAAACTAAGCGATAGGGAAAGACACCTAGGTGGATCTTATGGTCGTGGCTCAAAGAACAGATAATGGCGACCGTCTGTTGCAGCTATGCTCAGATAACCGCCTGTTCCTTGCAAATACTAACTTTAAGCATAAGGAAAAACATCTTTTAACATGGCGACCCCCTAATTCGTCCCAACGTTGGACCCAAATAGATCACATCGCTATCAGCCACCGATGGAGGGGCTCGATAGAAGACTGTCGCTCATTCTGGAGCACATGCCTAGATTCAGATCATGCTCTAGTGCGAGCGCGTATTTGCCTGCGTCTTACTGGACGTAGGAAAGACGCTGCAAGGAAACCTCTTAGGGCCCTACTTAATGATAGTCAAGCTAAGAGTATATTTCAGGAACAACTAGGAAAACAGTTAGGCAGCCATGTATGTGATGCCCACCCCGATGCAGCATGGAATGATATCCGAAAAGCTGTGGAAACAGCAGTGATATCTGCTAGTAAGGTAAACCAGAAGGTTAGGGAGCAACACTGGATCTCAGCAGCATCTATCTCACTGATAGATGCTCGGAAACTCATTCCACCTGGCTCTGAACATAATGAAGAGCGGAGTCAGCTTAAGCGCAAGCTGACAAGAAGTCTACGCAATGATCGTGAACAGTGGTGGGTAGCGAAAGCAAGAGAGATGGAAAAGGCAGCGGCAATAGGTAATAGCAGACAATTGTTCAGACTCGTTAAGGAAACCGACTGTTAGCGAAACAATCTCAGAGAAAGATGGACATATTATACATTCTCAATCCAGGAGATTGGATCGATGGGCAGAACACTTTAGGGATCAGTTCAACTGGCCTTCAGCCACACTTCGGTTTCCCACGATCTCCAGTCAACCTGAATGGCAAGTTAATGTAGGTCCTCCGCTCTTTACGAAGTTGAAAAAGCCATAGGAAATCTGAAACGAGGGAGAGCAGCAGGCCCTGACAGGTTTACTCCTGAGATTTTTAAGGATGGTGGTCCAGTATTAGCAATGAGATTAACTGAGGTCTTAGGTAGAATTTGGGAACTGGACGTAATCCCATCTGACTGGTCTCAATCACTGATTGTGCCAGTTTTTAAGAAAGGACAAAAGTCCTCTTGTGACAATCACAGAGGAATCAGTTTGACTAATATAGTGTCTAAAATATTAGCTTCAATAATACTTCGACGCCTAACTAAAGCTCGTGAAGAGCTTTTCCTGTTTACTGCTTATACTCGTAATACCTCTACCTCTACGGGATTTGAATCGACCACTGCATCTCTGTGCTAATGTAGTGTGGCAACTCGAACTGATGTTTGTACGTACGAAGTTCTACGTTGTTACTGACTGACTGAAGTCCTATTTTTCAATTCCACATGTTATCACAATAAAGCAGTAATTCATTTCCTATTCTGGAACTTTATCCTGTTACTCTAACGTATATATGCCTTCATCGTGAAGTTTGTTAAAAGTATTCTTATCTCACTTTTTGTTTGCTCATCAGATTGAGCGTGGTGAGGCGAAAATCCAAAGAAGAGCTGCTGTAAAACGTGCTCTTGATCTAAAGATGGCCCGATATCGAGCGCCGTTTCACCAACTTCGGATACAATATGGAACAAATAAAGGGAAGAACTATGTTGAGGAGGAAGATCGTTTCTTAATCTGCATGCTTCATAAACTTGGTTTCGATCGTGACAATGTATATGATGACTTACGTCTTGCAGTTCGCTTGGCCCCACAGTTTCGATTTGATTGGTTTTTGCGATCTCGCACAGCAATGGTGAGTAGTGTCAAGTAATCGCCGGTGATTGTTTATGCTTGGTGGAGTTTTAAATTTATCTATCGACGTTTCACTTCGTATACACGAAACTTGCTATAAATAGGCATTTCAAGATAGTTTTACATCAGTATTGCAGTCGCTATTTTCTTACTTGTTCAAGTCAGCTGTTCACTTTTCTATTTCAGGAACTACAAAGACGTTGCAGTACTCTTATTACTTTGATTGAGAGAGAAATATGTGATTTAGAAGACCGAACAAAACAGCGTAGTGGAGCAGGCGCGAATAATTTACCACTCACTCCTGCAAATTCCGGACCATCTAACACATCCACAGTATCCAACCAAAAGCGGAAGTCAACTGCAGCTGGTGGGATTAACTCGGATTCAACTGCAGAAATTTCCGGAAACGCAAAGAAAAAGAAGGTCACTGCTTAAATAACAGTGATTTGTAAATGTCTCTGTCTTATACTCTTGTTGTAGGCCTCTTGCATTTGATTTTATGTACTCAATTCCTTTGATTTCATACTGGTGTATTGTTTACCAAATCTTACATAAATAAAGATTTGTAATTAAATTTACTCTTTGCCAAATATTTTCATTTGGTATCTATAATAATATGAAGTGTAACAACGTTCAACAATAAGAATATTTTAGTGTACACTAAAGCATTAACTCGCTTCACATATTTTTGATTTCTACTAAATTGTCTTATACATTTAAATTCATATAATTAATGATCTACCTAATGAGAACGATTAATGACAGAGAATTCACCTAAATCATTCTCACTCATTTGATCAAAAACTCAAAATATAACTTTCTCATATAGAATATATTTAAGAAAGTAATTGGTAACAATAGAATCGACTTTATAAAACGACACGACTTATAAATGACCAAACTTTAGTAGATTTTCGAAGGTAACGATCTATTTCTTAGAATGTCTGCTTCAAACGTTTTCACGAAGAAATACAAATTTTAATTAACATGGCTGCATCACATTTGTAGTCCTGTAAATCATTAAAATCATCGATATTCATGAACAGTTACAATTCTTGAGAACAGCTGGATTACGATATCATATAATTATTCTAGTTAGTTCACTGGGTATATCGTTAATCTAATCATCATATTCAAAAAAGCGTTTAACCTAACAACATCGTGTTTCACTTTAGATTGGCACTTTTTGCACGAAAACAGATAATCTTCAGCAAGAATGATGCGTCCGAGTGATTTTTCTTTAACGCTTACTTGCGTTGTTTTTACAACCTCAGGTAGAGAATGTCATGCGTTTGAAATGTGTCCAGTCCCTGTTGTCTTCTACTTTGATTATTGTTTAGACCCTGGTTTCTGTAGACTGTCAATTGTCTCATTATGGCTTACAAAGCGTATGATAAATGTTTGCAGATAGTTTATTTTCTACTGTATACTAAATTACGTATTTATAAGTTATCAAAGTAACCATAATTCACAGCTGAACGTAAATAATGAATATAAGGTGGAATATTATTACTTACTTACGCCTGTTACTCCTCGTGAAGGAACATAGGCCGCTCACCAGCATTCGCCATTCAACCCTGTTCTGGGCAGTCCTTTCCATATCTGCTTTTATTTCCCGACGTAATGTGTTCTTTGGCCTTTCTCTGTTCCACCTTCCTTCAGGATTCCAAGTTAGGGCTTGTCTCGTGATGCAGTTTGACGATTTGCGTAACGTATGTCCTATCCATTTCCATCGTCCTTTCCTAATTTCCTCTTCAGCTGGAAGCTGGTTTGTTCTCTCCCAGAGAAGGCTGCTGCTGATGATGTCCGGCCAATGGATGTTGAGTATCTTGCGTAGACAGCTATTTATAAAAACTTGCACCTTCTTGATGATGGTTGTTGTAGTTTTTCTTCAAGTTTCAGCTCCATACAGTGGAACTGCCTCTTTTGACGTTGGTATTGAAGATTCTAACTTTGATATTGGTTGGAAGTTGTTTTGAGTTCCATATGTTCTTCAACTAAAGGAATGCGGCCCTTGCTTTGCAAATTCTCGCCTTTACGTCTGCATCTGATCCTCCTTGTTCATCGATTATGCTTCCCAGGTATGTGGAGGATTCTGCATCTTCCAGAATTTCGCCATCAAGAGTGATTGAATTTGAGGACCTTGGTTTTCCCCTTGTGTATGTTGAGGCCTACTGATGCAGAGACTGCTGCTACACTGGCTGTCTTTGTCTGCATCTGTTCGTATGTATGCGATAGGAGGGCTAGGTCATCTGCGAAGTCCAAATCGTCTAATTGATTTTGAGCTGTCCATTGTATTCCGTGTTTTCCTTCAGATGTCGAGGTCTTCATAATCCAGTCGACCACCAGAAGTTTTTTTTTTGGAGAGAGTAAACAGCCTTGTCTGACTCCAGTCCTTACTTGGAATGCATCTGTTAGCTGTCCTCCATGCACGACTTTGCGCTGTAGTCCGTCGTACGAGTCCCAGATAATGTTGACAATCTTCTCAGGAACTCCGTATTGTCGAAGAAGTTTCCATAACGTCCTCCTATCTACACTGTCGAATGCCTTTTCATAATCAGTGAAGTTGATGTACAGTGACGAGTTCCACTCAATTGATTGTTCGACGATGATCCGTAGTGTTGCAATTTGGTCTGCGCACGACCGATCCTTACGGAATCCAGCTTGTTGATCTCGAAGTTGGGCATCTACTGCATCTTTCATCTGGTTCAGCAAAACTCTGTTAAAGACTTTTCTTGGTACTGACAGTAGTGTGATTCCTCTGCAGTTTTCACATTTGCTCAGGTCTCCTTTCTTTGGAATCTTGACGAGGTGTCCTTCCTTCCAGTCCATCGGCACTTGTTCCTCCTCCCAAATCTTCCTAAATAGAACGTGGGGCATGTTTGTAGTTACTTCGATGTCTGATTTCAGTGCTTCAGCTGGTATATTGTCGGGTCCTGTTGCTTTCCCGCTCTTGATTTGTCTGATGGCCATTCTGATTTCTTCCGTCGTTGGTGGATTGACATCTATAGGAAGATTTGTGTGCGCTGCTTCGATGTCCTGTGGATTCATTGGAGCTGGCCCATTCAGGAGTTCCTTGAGGTGCTTTACTCATCTGTTCCGCTGTTGTTGAGTTTCATGATTAGCCTGCCTTCTTTGTCGTTGACCAGTCTCTCTGGTTTACTGTATTTCCCTGCTAGTTTCTTCGTTGTATCGTAAAGTTGTTTCATATTTCCTTCCCTTGCAGCTTTTTCCGTCGTCGTTGCTAGTTCTTCCACGTATTTCTTCTTGTCGGCTCTAATGCTCCTCTTCACTTGCTTGTTTGCTTCTATATATTCAGTTTGTGCTTGGACTTTCTCTGCTCGTGTTCGGCTGTTGTTAATTGCTGTCTTCTTGTTCTTCCTTTCTTTGATCTTGTCCAGAGTTTCTATGGAGATCCACTCCTTATGATGGTGTTTCTTTAGGCCAAGAACCTCTTGACACGTTGAAATTAATGCTTCTTTGATGCCTTTCCAGTTGTCCTCCATAGTAGTTTCTTCTTCCTTCAGTAGATCTTGAAAGGCTTGGAACCTGTTGTTGAGAGCTATCTTGAATTCGTTGATTTTGTTAGTATCTCGAAGGAAGGCTGTATTGAACCTTTGTAATGCTGTTTGTCCAGTTCTTTAGCTTCAGTTTTAAATTGGCCACAACTAGGTGCTGATCTGAAGCTATATCAGCTTCTCTCCTGGTTCTCACATCTTCCATTGTCCTTCGGAATTTAGCGAAAATTTTCAAACTATGATCTTTCAGAATAAAAATATTTAACCTGATAGTGGTGCGTACCATAAAATATCACATTGGTTGGTGAATTCAATTATCTTCATGGAACAGCCCAAAGAGACACTTTCTATGAAAACTCTTAGTGCCAAAATGTTATGACTTTAAGTTGTGGTCGATTTTTACCCTGTGCTAATTGTTGTGTCCTTGACTGGAAAATTAGAGAGCAACGTATTTATCGATCGATTCAATGACACGTAAACACGTACGGACGGCCTAGAGCCTCTATTGGTCTCGCTTCCCTGTCTAGCCCAGTCAGTTGAGTCCAGAACACAAGTCACAACCTCTGAGATATGAATCATTATATTCCAACATACTTTGTTTATATACCAATCAAGCATACCACATCGTACCATAAAATAGAAAACAACATTTTGTACAATATTCAACAAGTGAACAGATATCGACCAATAGGAAATGTCCATTTAAAGTCCAAGGACACCATTGGACTTAACATGATAATTATTGGTCTATTCCTCCGCATCCACAACACAAACCCATCACAACTTCATTAGTTTACATCTAAAAAGAGTTATTGGATACTTTTGTGTGAAATACTAACCGCCTTCGTTTCGTTTAGTAAATGTCATTGTCTATTGACAAAGCATATAATAGATAAAATACACCAAGTATATAACACTGAACTTATCTGAGACGCCGACGTGCGGCTCCCCTAGGGGCAAATAAATGACATATTTCAAGCTGAGAATGGCAAGCTTATTCCAGGTCTTCGCCGATCCTCGATCCAAACACCTGAGCGAATTCCATTTAAGACATTCGTCCCCAGTCTCTGTTCAGTGATATTTTCAGCATAGACTGATGATTCTGTTTTTTCTAATATTTAGAACTAATTTGTAAGTTTGGCACAACTTTTCACTGTACTTGAATTATTGGAACTAGTGTCGACTTATGGTGATAATGTTAGTATGAATAGTGTTACGATTTTTTTCACTTACATAGACATAAATTGTTCTATTATGTTCTATGCACGTAAGATATATGATAAAAACAGAGACCTTTCTGGTTATACGTTGCACAAATAACCCCCGATTTTTTAATGCTTAAACCATATCTCGAAGATTTAGGTCACAATTCTTCTAGAACATCGTACAGAGATACTTTACATGCCACAACGTTTACTTACTAATTGATCATCCGGATGTACATAAAAGACAAAACAGTTAAAATTATACACTTAACAAACTCCACATTTCTGGTCCTAAATTGAATTGTCATCAGAGCTGTGAAAATTATAAATTAAATAGTTAACCAGCAGGTTTCCAACAAACTTTTTCTCAAAAATACTAATTAGTTTATAACATTCACCAATAGTTATCTAATATTCAAGTCCCGGTTTCAACAAAATATCTGATGAGTCAGCACTGATTCTTTTCCCAAACCAACTGCCAAACAAATCGCAACCTAAAACGCACTCAATTGATTGCTCATTGTTTTATTTCTCGCTCACTCTTTCAACATTATTCAGATGTATATAATCGTAGATAGGAATTACTTATAAACTAGTCAGGAATCTATGTTACTATTAGATAGTTTAAATTTGCCGAGAACAGTTCAAGTTATCTAGTTTTTTGTGATCACATGTTATTTCCTTCTTCAATTGATGAATAACCTCGATGGGAATTTTCTAATTCATGTTTCCGTAATAACTTTTTTGTTATGACCGATTGTTGTCATTTTTGGTTTGCTAATTTTGTTGTGGCCCAAGGCCATTGAGTGACTACAAAGACAGTTCTTAATTCAATTTCTAAATCCTGTCCGGAATATGGCGCCTTTCCTTGAAGTCCTGTCTTCTCTATCACATATCAGTGTGCGAATTTCCAAATTTCAAGAGTCGTTGGTGTTAGTTTCTATGATTTCAAGTTCACAGTAGATTTCCATTTTGAAACCATTGTTTTTATCGATTTTAAGCAGCATTATCCCGTTGTCGATATTCCTGACTGAATTTTGATCAGTCTTTGTTGACATATACGCATCCTGTGCGACTGCATATAGTCAAAATGTCGCGAACTTTATGCAAAATAGATGAAGTGTAGCTAGCGGCAGAACCTAAATCCACGTATCGCTCTACTTGGGACTTCAACCGGATGTCCCTGTATCTCAGTGATGTTCAAACCATGACTCAAACCCAATACCTACCGTTTTAAACTCCTAACCCGTTATCCGCTGGGCTACTGAATCTGGTTGGCTTCTATCTTGTTCGACGGGTATGATATTTTTATTATTAGAAAAGGCTTGGTTTATCCCGCTGTTGATATTGTTGACTGGATTTTAACCAGTCTTTGTTGATATGTGTGAATACAGTGCTGATTGTCTCTCAGTGCGTTTAAAGAGTAAGGTACATGGTCCGAGTCCCCACATGAATTTCAACATTGGGGTGCAAGTATAACCAGCCGATAAGTCCGAAATAGAATGGGATGCGCACCCTGAATTCCAGTGCTAACCACAGCCTATCTATTCTATATAAATAGAAACCCAGATGAACCCGCAAGAAAATATGACCATATGATGCAAGCAATTTTACAACAATAACTGAAATATGATCATGAGTTAATTATAAAGCTACATCAGTCAGTCAGTCACTGACTGAAAAGATGTATTAAAAATAAACATATATATATTTATTTATTTTTAATGACTGAGAAACAGAAGTTTGCAAAACTTCAAATAAAATAAATTTCTATTAAGTAGTAAATAAATCAGTTATTTTTCTTAGTTTGAATAAATATTAACAAGTAAATAAGTATTGGTATGATTGAGCAAGAGAATATGACTAGAGAAAAACAAACAAATAATAAAATAAATGAGTTTTGCACAGGATTGACAATAAAAAGACAATAAATTGCACATCATTTAGGTTTTAATGAGAATATTAGCGGTAGTAATAGTAATAGTAGTAGCAGAAGTAGTGATAGAAAATTAAAGAAAAGAAATGAATATACATAATCATTATCATTTGTGTTGTGTATTTTTCGCATAGGAATGTTTTCATTTAACACAGATCATAGTTAAATAGGTAGTTAGTTGCCCAAATGTATTTGTCTACAACTACATAAATATATGTTATACAAAGACCGATAATAAACAAATAGGAAAAACAAAAAAAAGAATTATAAATATCTCTCTCATACACGCATATATAAAACAGGCTAATGATGTAATAAATAAACAGATCAAGGAAACTTTATTTTAAAAAATATCATAAGATGATTTGAAGATAAATCCAATAATTTATGCAATTTCAAACGGTTTAGAGATCATGAAAACCAATTAGTTCGACCAATCCAACAGTGAACATACAACCAATTTGTCCATTTTCACACTGAACTGTTTGTGTTAAATCAGATGGATCAGTAATCAAGCAAGGATTAGAAAAAGTTAGAGTTGGACCACTTGAAGCCGTTGTGAGACAACTATCCAAGCTTAAACCTGGAGGTCCCTTACTTATACTGCCACCAATTTCTATACCATTATTTGAAGCTCGTTGAAAACGTTGGTGTTGTATGGAATGTATAATGTTTTCATCATCAGAACTTGTTCCGATCCACCTATATATAACAAATGGACCAGGTTTAATGCGAAATAGAAAGCATAAACCATTTCCATAGTAAACAGATTCAACACGAGGTTGCCATCTATCTGAACAAAAAGCTCCAATAATACTATTCCTTGACAAACTACGTACCAATAGAATTGTTGCAGGATTTTCTGTCTCTGCTGCCTTAGCATAAAATGTACGCAGGCTATTACCATCTACATTAGATGAAAATACTCGATACGGTTTGAATAAACAGGAATATTTGCGATCATCAATCGATGTGATAATTGAAGCTAATTCAGTACTCGATACGCATTCAGACGGATGAATTTGTTTTTCAGCATCACCACCAAGTAAGTAAGCAGCGAATGTATTCTTTCCGCTTTTATTACATGGTTGAATTAGCTGTTTGTCAACATCAAAATTCACTTTCATTAAAGAAAAGAAAGTTAAAAGTAATTGAATTAAGACTTTAGTTATACATATAATTAGTTGAGCTAAGAATAATAATCGATTTACTCTCATTAAAGAAAAATGTTTCAATGTGCAGTTGATAATATATAGTAATATTTTTCCTAAGTACAACAAGAATATTTCAATCGATATCTCGAGGTAAAACTGAGAAGTATGCAATAACAGGTTGAGAGAAAATACGATCACCGCAAATACACTTTTTACTGTACATTTTTAATTCTTATTAATATTTGGTTTAATTAATTTTAATGGGCAGTTTATCGCACTGTTGGACTATTAGTTCCCCATAAATCCACTTTTAAAAAATATGGTTTCGCATTTACGAAATTAGAGACGAAAACAAATAACTTTCGATATTCCTACAACTTACTGAGCAATAAACTACCACTATCATAATGTTTATCTTCTGTTTTAAGGACACTTATAAAGACTAGATAGATCATTGATTGTTTCCAGTTATCATGTGAACAACTTTACCTTACTGTGTAATCATAGTGTTCGGTTTAATAGTAAAGACATTATTTAAGGAGAAAACTCTTGGTGTTGAAAAGCAAATATGCTTAAAATATCATGAATATTTTACAAATTGTTAGGTGAGCAAAAATTACCTTGGAGAAACTGAACACTTTTGATTGCCTGAGAAATTTTCGTCCGACTCACACCACGCAGTGAGAACATTTTTCTCATTAACTTTGATGGTGTCAATGGGATATGTTTGAATATTTCTTCATCATACACAAACCCATGAGAATAATCACCAACATTCCTCCCGATTCCATTGGTTTCACTGCTAATCTTTGAATACTTTCCACTTAAGGAGGCTTTAAGAATCTAAACGATAGATTGCAAAAAAAGGAACACAATTAATGTGCTTTGCACAAGAACATAATTTCTTTAGAAACGATTCAACAATAAGGTAATTTTAAAAATGAAGATTATAAAGTGGTTAAGATGGCGATTAGTACTGAACTTCCATAATGGGTTTATTACCGAATAACCTGCTTTGTAGTAAAACTAAATCGTATTATAACCTTCAAAACTTTACTTACCGCACAAGTCGGTTACCAATGAACAACCGCTTATTATTTGACTTCAATTAAAGTTATGCGAGGAAAATATCATCACACTCTCTAAAACATTGACATGACAACTTAATGACTTTTATTAGGAAAGTTTATCTTTCACAATCAACATTTCTGAAGCGAATTAGTCAGTAGTTTCTCTGATGTTACATTCATAACGTTAACGCCTCTGAGTTTTTAAAATATAGTCGGACAATTCGAAAATGAATTCTTTGATTGGTGCTATCTGTCTTTTTTAAAATAAGAACTAGTCCTTCTAATTTGCCTGTCTTGCTTATGATCAGTGTTATCTTTTCTAAGCTTACGCAAAGCATCTTGATATTGTTTGGTATGTGGAGATTTATTTACCATTTTTGCATTATTGCCAGCTATCAGTCAATGTGATGACGGACCACCGGTGAACTCGAGGAAGCTGTCTCATCCAATCACCTTTCGGAAGAATATTCTAGAATTCCAACGTGTAGCTTCCCGATTGGATAATGCTAATAACCCCCTGTATGCGGATTGGAAGACTATAATGATGATTTCGTTCTCCCTAAAAACTATAAATACCTGACAATTTTGTACTATGATTGACACTGTTTGGAATAATATTCCTTTCGTTAGTCTTCTGTCTTCTTACTGCGACTTGGAAGGGTTTTGGTGTTCTAGTGCTCTGTTGTACGCGGTAGTGTCAAGAGAAATAAACTCTTCAAGATATAACAGTCAACCAACGTGTTCTGAAGTCTAGTAAGTTCCTCGAATAAGGTTGGGACCAAATATGTTGTTTATGAAAATAATTTCTCAGACTGCAGGTCCGTATTTAGTTAATTAATTTTATATCCATAGTCACAGAATTTATTGGCAAGCGATAAAGCCTCTAATTAAATTATATTCAAGTTCACATTGGAAAAATTGTTTCGGTCAATAGGGAACTTAATTTCTGGTTTTTTGATGTTCAAGCGAATTCAATAATTCTATCCCTAATTTTTTCACTCTAATTTTTGCCACAGTGTTGACACAGCTCATAAATTGTGATTTCACATTTAGTGCTAAGTTTTCGACAGTAGATTACCTTTGTAAAAAATTGCTTTCCAAATCAGTAGTGTGCACTTTTAATAAATCTGTTTGACTACACATTATTTGCCACTCGTTTTCAATGTACTGTAAAGCACAGGACTTGAATAGTAAGTATTAGACAAGCATGACATTATAACCAAGTGGCTAATCAATGTAAATATGATAATTCTCCAGGAAGTCAGTTACAGTTAGAATGTCTTAGTGGTGATGTTTCTAACCGTGAAACTGAGTGCGGTGGGTTCAAGTCTTACAGCGATTATCAGTTCATTTCATACTGTACATGTGTCTTGTTGATGATTCCTAACTGACATAAGACTTGAGTCTAAAACTAACAAATATAACTTAACGAAGACCTAAAGCCTCATGTACTGAACTGCAGTTTATATGAATAAGGGGAAAAACGACAGTCAATTTTTTTTTAACTTTTAAGGAAGTGGTTAGTTACTAAGGTAGATAGAAGCCGAAGAAGAAGAATGTAACACTAAATGAGTTTGAGAAACAAATCATAATAATGTGTCTACATAATTTTAAGAAAGAACCTTTTAGTGGACCGTAGACTATAATAAGGTGTTTAATAACTGTTGTTAACGCTGGATGAACGAGCTAGCTTTTATCATATCTAAAAACAGAAAACGCATTATACTCTTTTGGACAGATGTATCGTATAGTGATTACAGATGATATAAAATCAGTGATATGAAAAACTTACAACTAAACCAGCACGATAGAACACTTTCGGTCCTTCTAACAAAAAGCTATCAATTAAACAAACAAGATGTTCGAAAGGTAACTTCCACAGTAATAAACACCAACGGGCCAACTGAAGCCGTCTTTCATCTTCTTTACAGGTGGCACTAACATTTTTCTCATTTGATTTGGAAGTCATCAATATGGTACGTTTCTGACTATCTCTTCGTAAAAGATTACATAAATAGGCCAACTCTTCTAATGATAAACAATGTTCTTTCCAATCAGATTTTGTTTGAATTAAAATACCAGGTTGATCCAATAAAGTGAGTATACATTTACGTACAACTGTAATAGGCATATAGTGTAGAAATAATGCTGTCAACGGCCATAGTTGTGGAGCATAAACAAGTTCTGGGCGGTCAATAAAAATATTATGTAATATTGTCCGTAAACAATTTTGACCAAGTGTATTTAAGAAAAAAGTTGGCAATAACATTTGATTGGAAAACTCGTAACCAGCCAATAATGATGAACCATCAATGTTTGTTACACTGGTTGTTGAAATATCATTACTATGGATGCTTGAATCGGAAATCTAAGTAAAATCAACAACATGAAAGTTATGAATACAGAAAGATGTATATCGATAAACAAATAATTATTATAAGGAGAAAAGGGTGGTGGCGCACTCATTACTTTATTCCGATAGAACTTCATTCTAATCCCCTCTTATTATGAATGTTTGTAAACCACCATTGTACTGTTAAGATATATCAACGTAAATTGATCTATAGTTACACAAGATTTATTGAAATGAGTGTCACTTAATATATATACCGAATTAAAAAAAGCTGATTGGGGGAAACATTTGATTTTACTCCTAATTGAAACACATGACTGATATATGAAATATTCTTTATTAAGCAGACTTTAGATTATATTTCATTATTAAAATAAGGGTAAAGAACTATGATAGATGGATTACATTCTATTAAAGGAAATGTGTAACGACTTAGATGAACTGAGGATAAAAGAGTAACAAAACACTCGGTTATATAATAAACTTCTTGTTATAATTCTCTGATCATGTTAAAAAAAAAACTAGAAGTACTATATTCACTTAAATAATAGTGCCAATTGGTCACGTATCGTGGAACGACGGAGTGAGCAATGTTCAAGTTAGACGCAGGACACCAAGTAAAGATAGCAAGTCAGTTGGTAAAGTTGTAAATGCTCACAGACTGAGGTGGATAGAACACATACTATGTATGCCTAATCATCCCCTACCTTGATAGGCAATGATTGCTGGTGTAGGAGTATGTTGGAAGAAAGTTTGAAGCGGCCAAACGATGATATGGCATCAGTTCATGTGTACATTGGTTGTCGCCCCCGAATGCCCTGGTACGGCCGAGAGTGGGGAGAGTCCACTCTCCCTCTCGAAATACTCTCACACGGCCACGCGTATACAGTCTCTGCCAGGGAAGTCCTACTCATTGCCTTCTCGTGGCGGGGGCGCTGTTTACGAAAATGAGAGGACGAAAAGCGAATGTCCGGCGCTTTAACCGGATCACAAACCAATGGTGCACATGGGCTCCAGTATCCTGCGGGAACAAATGGCGGATAAACCAATCATTGGTCACCGGCTACCATGGGATTGCATCTCCTTACGATGCTCCACTGCCTTGTGGGTTAGACCTTTAGGTCAAAGGCTCGGGGCGTGGCCCCCTAAGAAAACCACCTGCTTCGGTTTGGGCACCCGGGCAGTATCACAGCCCACACACAAATGATGAACTCTTTATGTCTATGGAAATTACTTTTCTCGCTTCGAAAAACAATCAATTGATTCAAATTATTATCATTACAATTATTGTCATTATTAATACTATTATTATTATTATTATTATTATTATTATTTTGATTGAGATCATGAAGCGATTGATGTTAGACCACCACAATTGAAAACCTGGAAGCACTGGACGGCCGTTTCGTCCCATTGTGGGACTCCTCAGCAGTGCGTATCCACGATCCCGCGAGCGGGATTCGAACCCAGGGCCTTCGGTCTCGCGCGCGAACGCTTAACCAACTGGACCACTGAGCCGGCATCCAATGGTGATAGTTTCTAACATCAACCAATCCACGAGATTGCGCGACCAATTTCCGTTGTACTGAGGTAGATACCTGTCTCTACCCGACAAGGATTAGCTCCACTGGTCACGGCTTCTCACTAGAACTTCGAGAATTCCCTCACGAAGCTAGTCACTAGTGAGCACATGTTGATTACTATTATTATTATTACTATTATTGTCATTATTATTATTATTATTATTATTATTATTATTATTATTATTATTATTATTATTATTATTTTCCACATTATTCACCCTCTTTTATACTTATACAGCGGCTCGTCTTTGGTGGAAATTCGACTGTATCTAAACGTTCTCGAGTCACTGTCCGGTTGAAAATTGTATGTTACCACCGAATACGAGAACTGAAGCAGTTTTTCTGAAACCACGTGCACCATTCAAACTGGCTGCCTTCAACGTTCGCACATTTATGCAGGTCGGACAACAGATAGGGCTGGCTATGTCTTTGGAAAGTCTTAATATTGATGTTTGTTGTCTATCCGAGACCCGTATTCAAGACTCTGGCGAAGTACTACAAATTCGATCTCCATCTGTCGCTTCGAAAAGCTTGTTTTACGTGCGCTTATCCGGGGACCCTGTGGCATCTTCGTCTGGTCTTGCTGGCGTTGGTGTCGCACTAAGCGCTAGAGCTGAGGCAGCACTAGTCGATTGGATCCCCATTAACAGTCGGTTATGTGCTGTTAGATTAGAAAGTTCCATCAAAGTGAGAAGAAATCGGCGTGAGAAACGATGTCTTTTCGTCATCTCCGCCTATGCCCCGACAGATTGCAGCCCGGATGCAATCAAGGATGAGTTTTACCACCAGTTATCTGTTCTTCTCCAGAAAGTGCGTTCGACAGATATTGTAGTACTAGCCGGAGACTTGAATGCTCAGGTCGGGCGTCTAGGCACAGAAGAGAGTCGTTTAGGTGGCCGATGGGGACTCGTTGGTCGCAGGTCAGATAACGGGGACCGTCTACTGCAACTTTGCACAGACCACAACCTGTTTCTGGCTAGCACTAACTTTCGGCACAGTCATCGCCGATGTGCCACCTGGCGTCCTCCCTCTGCATCTCAAGCCTGGACTCAGATTGATCACATCGCGATCAGCTACCGCTGGCGTGGTTGTGTACAAGACTGCCGCTCCTTTTGGAGTACCTATCTGGACTCTGACCATGCCTTGGTCTGCGCCAATCTTGCCTTACTTTTCAGTGGACAACGAAGTGACCGCCATCAACGGATTGATGTTAGCAAGCTGGTTGCAACTTCTGTTGCAAGTAAGTATCGAACCGAGCTAGCCTCTAGGCTAGCTACCACTCCACCGAAAAGTATAGATGAGCATTGGTTGCAATTGCATGACGCCATGAAAATGGCGGGAACAGTCAGTTGTGGGTTTGCGAAACGTCCCGCTTTAAGCACTGGGTTTCTTCTGGTTCCTTACAACTCATTGAAGCCCGTCGGTCTACTCCGGGTGACCGTGAGTTTGACCATAAACGAAGGATGTTACGTAAGGAAATTGGGCAAAGCTTGCGTAAGGACCGAGAAGCCTGGTGGTCGAAAAGCTGGAAGCAGCAGCTGCATCTGGTAACTACCGGAAGCTCTTCCAGCTCATCCGAGCCACTGGCAGCAAGAAGTCTGGTGTGAGTGAAACAATCTGCGAGGATGATGGGATGCCAATCACTAACATCCATCGACGTCTTGGACGATGGGCAGAATTTTTCGAAGGGCAGTTCAACTGGCCTGCTGCTCCGGCAACATCGGTCAGACTGTCCTGCCCTCCATGGCCGGTGACGACTGATCCACCAAACGAGGAGGAAGTCCGCAAGGAACTCCAACTCTTGAAGCGTTACAAATCACCTGGCCCAGATGACTTACCTCCGGCTCTTTTTAAAGATGGTGGTGACTTTTTGACTAAGGAATTGACGACGTTGTTTACAAAGGTTTGGGAACTAGAGAGTGTACCAACGTCATGGAATGAGTCGATAGTTGTCCCTATCTTTAAAAAGGGTTCACGTCGTTCCTGTAACAACTATCGGGGGATAAGTCTACTTCCGATTGCGTCCAAGCTATTGGCTTCCGTCATACTTCGTAGGTTGTTCAAAACCCGAGAAAGATTGACTCGCGAGGAGCAGGCTGGGTTTCGTTCTGGTCGAGGATGTATTGATCATATCTTCACCCTCCGCCAAATGTTAGAACACCGCCATACTTATCAAAGGCCAACAATCGTAGTGTTTCTTGACATCAGGGCTGCCTTCGATTCGTTGGACAGGACTGTTCTCTGGGATTGTCTATTGAAGAAGGGTGTGCCTGAGAAGTTTATTAACATCCTAAAAGCCCTATATAAAAACACCTCAGGCAGAGTGAGGGCATACAACCACCTCTCTCCATTGTTCCATTCGAGCAGTGGGGTTAGGCAGGGTTGCCCAATCTCACCATTCCTCTTCAACTTTGCCATCGATGACATTCTGGAAACAGCTCTGATGAATGTAAGTAATGGTGGTGTGGATCTGTTGCCTGGAGAAAGACTTCTCGACCTTGAGTATGCGGACGATATTGTCTTACTGTGCGATAATGCCCAAGGCATGCAATCCGCACTTAATCAGTTGGCAATCAGTGTCCGTAGGTATGGTATGTGCTTTGCACCTTCGAAGTGCAAAGTACTTCTACAAGACTGGCAGGATTCTAATCCTGTACTCACCCTGGATGGTGAGCAGATAGACGTAGTTGAGAAGTTCGTGTATCTGGGTAGCTGCATAAGTGCTGGTGGGGGTGTGAGTGATGAGATCAATGCACGAATAGTGAAAGCCAGAGCGGCTTATGCCAATCTGGGCCACCTTTGGCGCCTTCGTGATGTTAGTCTGGCTGTAAAAGGTCGGATCTACAACGCGTCGGTGAGAGCAGTTTTGCTCTATGCTTGTGAAACCTGGCCTCTCCGAGTTGAGGACGTTAGACGACTCTCTGTGTTCGATCATCGCTGTCTCCGAAGGATTGCTGACATTCAGTGGCAACACCATGTCAGTAATGCAGAGGTTCGGCATCGTGTGTTCGGGCACAGAGATGATAATTCAATTGGTGTCACCATCTTGAAACACCGACTTCGGTGGCTTGGACATGTTCTCCGAATGTCGTCCCAGAGAATTCCACGTCGTGCATTATTTGCCGACTCTGGGACTGGTTGGAAGAAGCGGAGAGGTGGTCAGTGCATGACATGGTGTCGTGGCATGAAAGAAAGCTGCAAAGGACTGGCTTGTGTTGGTCCTTCACGACTCCCTGGTTGGGGTCCGAGAGATGGTGCTACACAGTGGCTAGAGACGTTATCAGATATGGCTCAGAATAGAAGCCAGTGGCGATCCTGCTGTAACCTTCTTTTACTTTCTTCATAAAAAGTGGTTGTGTCTCCTTACCTGAAAGATTTCTTCTGATTGTACCTTTCGTTCCCTCGTTACTACCACACTACCTTACACCAATC